TTGTCTCAGACATAGAAACAGAAGCAGGTGTTCCAGCCTGTCAGATTTTCTCTGCAATTCAATAAGGTCAACGTTGATCTGATAATCCTCAACTCTACTTCCCAGCCTTTCTCCCCATAACTCGTGATAAGAATTTGTATATCTCAGCCTTGAATGTATTTAACAACCCAGTATCTATTGGCCTCTGTGGTAAAGAACTCCACAAATTCACTCAATCTCTCCTCATCTCTGTCTTAAATGTACGCTCCCTTATGCTGAGATTATTCCTTCTGGTCCTAAACTCTTCAACCAGGGAAAACAACTTTCTGCATCTATCCTGTCCAGTCCCCTAAGAATCTTGTATGTTTCGAAAATGTTGCCTCTCATTCTTCTCGACTCCAATGAGTACAGGTCCAAATTACTTAACTTGTCATAGGATAGTCCCTCCAAATCTGGTATCATCCTAGTGTACCTTTCCTGGACTATCTCCAAGGTTAGTATATCTTTCCTTAGTTAAGGGGCATAAAATTGTTCTCTGTATTCCAGCTGTTGTCTGACTAGTGCCATGCATTATTTTAACAAGACTTCTGTACTCTTTTATGCTCCATTACATTTTGAAATAAAAGTCAACATTCCATTTGCCTTCCCTATTATCTGCTGAACTTGAATGCCAACTTTTTAGTGATTTATGCATGAGGACTCCTAAATCCTTCTGTGCTGTAGCTTTCAGCAGCCTTCCACCATTTTAATGAAATAGGTGACTGGGGAACAATGTTTATGGTCAGGACTATATGGAATGAATTTTTTTTGGGTCTTCCTCACTTAATTTGAAGACCTTTCAATCCATTCAGTGCTGGATGTCAGATATGCATTCAGGCAATTTAGAAGTAGTCAAGGAGTCAAGATAGTAATTTTCCAAAAAATAAGGTTACATATTTACTGACTATCCATGTTCATATGGAAAGCAAGGACTGGTCAATCTTCCACTTGACAAAAGTAATGAAAATGTGAAATTAAATCATTAGGATGTTTTTCGATTTTAAAAATGAGTTAACCTCCATAAGACATTGCAACATGTGCCTTTTAAAATTCTACATAAGATGTACTGATATGAAACTAGTCACATCAACTGTGCAAATAAGAGATCTCCCAGTGTAGACTGAAATTCAAATAACAAAATGATTGCTAAAGAAGGGAGATTAAGTATTTTAGAATGATAGAAAAACAGCCAGGAATGCTGAAGTTCACTTATTCTATGCTCATCTAAAGTTCTAATGAATTATAAACTGTGATTCTTTTCTTTTTTTAAGAAACGGCAAATTTAATTTTTTAATGCTTAAAAGCTAAAGGATCCTTTAAAAGAACTTGCCTCTCCTCCATAATTCTGCTAATTTTGTGTTAACTGTTTTAATTATATTTAGGTAGTGGGCATTAACTGGGAGTTCACCTGATCCTGTAAGGAAACATTTCTGGTCTGCTTGAGACCTTCTGTTATTGGGTGCTGCAGGAGCCTACTGCATTTTCTCCATCCACGTGACATTTTAAAATATAATTTGAACTTTTTGTTAGTGACCCAGGTTAACTTTTAGTTTACTTTAACTTTGATTTAATTGGTTAATTTTTTAATCAAAATGCATATAATGAGACACTGGTAAGTAGGATAGTTTTTGCGAAGATTTAGTATTCTGTGGGGCATGAATTTTCTCCTTTCTAGGTGGGAAATGATTTTCATCAAGTGGTGCTGGCTTTATTCACCTCATGATGAGGGTCGTATTTCCATGTTTTCTGATGAAAACTGTGGGAAAATGGGATGTTGGAGGACATAACGAGGCTTCAAAAAGTTAGACAATTTGTGAGTTGGCGACAATGTACACTCTAATAAACTGGTGACTGAATTGCTAGTTTCAGAAAGTAAGAGGTAGGAGTACAGTGATGTTATTGAGAGTAATAGAGGTGGGAAGTGCCGTTCCCCAAAGATCAGTTCTAGGACAACACAATTCACAATTTGCACCAACAATTTGATTTTTACAATCAAAAATATCAATTCTAAATTTTGTGGTGACAGCAAGTTATAGGGGACATTAGTAAACTTGCAGAATAGGCACATACTTGGCAAACAAAGCTTAGCACAAATTGGTAGGAAAAGTGGGGCCACTCATTGCTGGGAAGGAGAAAATTTAGGCTGAGTGGACGAATGAAGTGCCTGAGAATAAATGCACTAGTACCTAAACATTGTGCTGCAGGTCAGTGGGGCCTTTTTTTGTTTAGAAAAGCAAAAACAAAGCACTAGGCTGATATCCAGGTTTGGTAAGTGTGCTGGACCTATATCAAACCTTGGTTAGATCGCACCTAACATGCTGCCCTGCTTGCCATTTTATAAAAAGGATATAGAATGTGAAAAGGTGAATTTGAGGTTGATACCAGAAGACCATATCTGTATGTATGGGAAAGAATTGACATGGTGGGTCACTTCCCTTTTTGGAAAAAGATGAAGTTGTGTGACTTAGTAGAGTTGTTTTGAATTTGAAATATTTTGAGTGGGTGCAGAAGGAATACAACCTCTTATAGTACGAGCATAACAAGGGGGCCATCAACATAAGATGCACAGGAAAGGCTTTTGTGAATTTAGAAGCAACTTTTTTACCCAAAGAATGTGACCGTGTGAAGCCATCTACCATAGGAAGTTATTGTAGTGAATGTGTTGATGCCTTTTCAGGGAAAAGTAAGCAAGTATTTGAAGTAGAAGGGAATAGACTGTTGTGATACCAGATTTAGATGAGGCGAGAGGAAGGAGATTCTAGTTGAACATTTGTTTGGAATGTTTCTGTTGTATATGTTCTCTGTAATCCTATGGATTGCAGAAACAGGAGGGAAAAACAGCACTTTATAAAGATCAACCATTTAAAATAATTATCTGTATTCTCCGTATTTTAATGATTAAACAAGTCAAGAAAAGCTAGTGCACAGATGCACAAATAAATCAGAAAATCTGTTGGAATATAAATTATCTCCGGAAGGTTGGAATACCAAGGTGATACTTCAGTTATATTAATCCATCCTGATTGGAGTATTACATGTGCCTTTTGGGCACCTAACCCCAAGGCACGATACTGTGGAACAATTGCTGAAAAGTGGGATGAATGAACCTAGTTAGCTCCGAGTTGACTGGCTTACACTCGGTGGGCAGAAGGGTCTCTGTGATGTAAATGTTTTATAATTCTGTGAAAATGTATTGTGTTTAGCAGGGCTATAATACAAAATCAACAATAGATGCTGGGGCTTAAAGCATTAAATTTGAGGGCAGATTGTTAAAACCTTTTATACACAATATTTATCATGATGCAGGAATTTGATTTGATAGAGTAAATCCAAGAAAATATTTTCTCCGGTGGGCAAATATAGTGAGGCTGTAATTCATAGATTTATAGCTTCATAAGTACAGCAAAGGCCCTTCAGCCCATTGAGTGTCCATTGACATAACAAGCACTGTAAGTGCGCTAATCCCAATTTTCTGCACTTGTTCCTATATCCTTAAATGTTATGAGATTTGAAGTGCTTATCCAAGTATGTTTTTAAAAGGTTAAGTTTTCTGGCTGCCACTACTTTCCCATGCAGTGATTCCAGATTCCAATCACTCGCTGAGGTGGAAAAGTTCTTTCCCAAATCTCCTCTGAATCTCCTGCCCTAAACCTAAAACTGTGCTCTCTCATTGACCCTCGCAACCATGGGAAACAGCTGCTCTCTATCTGCCCTGTCCATTCCCCTCGTAATTTTCTATACCTCAATCATGTCTCTTCCTTCTCCTCCCCCACCCCCCCAACCTTCAGTCTTCTTTTTCTGAAGAAAACAATCCAAGCATATCTAGTGTCTCCTTTTATAGCTCAATCTCTCCTCAAACCCCTCCAGTGCTATCCCATCTTTCCTATACTGAGGCAACCAGAACTGCATGCAGTACTCCCAGTTATGGCCTGACCAACTTCAACATTACCTCCTTGCTCTTGTACTCTATGCCACAACTGATGAAAGCAAGTGTCCCATATGCCGCCTTAACTATCCTATTCATGTACTCTGCCGACTTCAGGGATCTGTGAATAATGACCCCAAGATCTCTGTTCCTCTAAGCTACCCAGTGTCCTGCCGTTCATTAAATACTCCCTCATTTTGTTTCTTCTTCCAAAGTGCATCACCTCACACTTACCTGAGTTGAATACCATCTGCCCACTAGACCAACCCATCTTTATCTTCCTGTGACCTACAACCATCTTTGCTATTACCACTCTACCAATTTTGGTGTTATCTGCAAATTTATTTAACATTCCCCCACATTTTCATCTCTATCATTTATGTATATAACCAGCAATAAGGGTCCCAGTACTGATTTTTGTACACTGCTGGAAACCGACCTCCAGTCATTAAAATGGCCTTCTACCACTACACTTTGTGTCCTATTACTAAGCCAGTTTCTGATCCATCTTGCCAAATTTACCTGAATTCCATGTGCTTTAACCTTCTCATTGAGTCTTCCATGTAGGATCTTGTCAAAATGTTTGCTAAGATCAGTACAAACTACATCAACTGAACTTCCCTCATCCAAACACTTGATCACATTTTCAAAAAAATCTAACAAATTTGTTAGGCGTGACCTCCCACTGACAAAGCCATGCTGACTATCCGTAATTAAACCATGCCTTTCCATGTGGGTATTAATTCACTCCTTCAGAATTTTCTTCAATAGTTTCCTTACCAATGTTGAAGTCGACCTCTAATGAGTAAATCAATCATTAAGCAGAATTAATGCACAGGAGAATAAAAATCAAGGACCCTCACTTTTTTTTTCTTCCAAGCCCCCAAAAGGCTGTGGATACTGTGTCAATTGTAATTTTCAAGAGTTTTTTTAATTATTGAGGGATATAAAGAGGTTTGGGTAAGTAGGGTTAGGGCACACTGCCAGTCGTCATCTAATAGAAAAACAGAAAAGTCTCGAGGAACTGAATGATTTAATCTTATTTCTATGTTCCTAGGACAATAGTCTATGGAAGGAACAGTCTTGTATTTGGACTAAGGTTTTTGGAGGATCGAGAAGGCAGAACTATCATCTTTTGTTCGCAAAAGTAAGAACTCAGTAAAGTTTAAAATATTTCATGTCTTTTTTTCCTATTGGTTATCTATGCATTCAAACGGCAGTATGATTGTATAGTTTTTTTTTTGGGACCTGGGATTCAAGTAAGATTAAGTAATGAGTTATTATTGAATTTGACTAAAGCTTTTGATTTCAGAAATGAAGTGTAAATGACACAAATTTAAATTTGAAAGCCTTCTCTTTTTCTGAAATGTTGAAATAATGACTGTGTAACCTTGAATCACCAGAGTTACAACATTAAGTTATTTATTCAGCCAATAATGTTTGCCTATAGCCTGGTGTGTAGACAGGTGGCTGAAAACAGCCAGCCAAACTTTGACCTAATCTGCATAGTTTGAAGGTAAAGAAGTAATAATTGGCTCGGGGACTTCTTTCTCAAGATGCACAGAAGGAAGTTATTCAACGGTTGTCTGTAATGGGTTCCGGTCTGTCCTGTCTGCTTTGTTTTAATTCTTCAGTTCTATGTGGGAGACTTTTACGTGACAGCAACAAAATTAGAAATACATTGTTCTTGCGTGGAGAGAACTTTTTTCTGCCATCACAAAGCACTACATTTGGTAATGACAAATGGATATGTATAGCTCTCAACACTGTTGAAATTGGGATCCTACAGTAAAGTCATGGTGAGCTTTTACTATAAATTGAGCCACCCAGAGCAATTGTTGATTTAAAAGGAGGACCATTGTTGATTCGGGACATTCTACATATTGGCATGTTTATATTTCTGAACTGTTGGCCAACAGGAAAGGTTCTCTTTATGCCGAACAAGGTCAAAGTCTGTGTTTACAGTAATGAAATATGCACTTTTCTTTCAGAATGTAGAATTCGGGTATCTCTAAGAGCAGTAAGCACTTGTAGCATGGTTAATCTGGTGGATACGTGGATCTGTAAATGGCTGAAATTGATTTGAAATGATTCTGGCAATTCTTCTATGTTTGCAGTAAGAAAAAGGTAATTTGAAACACTGGTCACTCAGCTTGCAGGAATTACAGGAATTGCCCTGCACCATTGAGAGATATCGTTGGAAATCTGATATTTCATAATTGAAAAATACATTTTAAAAAATGGCGGTTCCATTTAAATGCTCACTGTGATGTTAAAGATTGCAGTCAGAACATTTGCTTTTTTAAGGGAGTAGACCGCATTTTTCATGATAAGTGGGTTAATGTATGGTTGACATCAGATCAATGTTCAATGTGGAAGGATTTAGAATGATTTATGGGAGTATCTCCAATGTGTAGAGGAAGTGAAACAAATCGAGTAGTTGAGAGGAAAATAGAGTATTTGTGAGGGTAGTTGTTACTTAAGGCCCTTTTGTGATGGGGAAAGAGGTACAAAGCTGGGTGCAGAAAGGTATTCAGAGAATTTAGAGTGAGCATATTGAGTAGTTGGGAAAACCGAAAGAACTGTGGATGCTGTAAATCAGGAACAAAAACAGAAGTTGCTGGAAAAGCTCAGCAGGTCTGGCAGCACATGTGAAGAGAAAATCTGAGTTAACGTTTCAGGTCCGGTGACCCTTCCTCATAACGTTTTGGGTTCGGACTTATGAGGAAGGGTCACCGGACCTGAAACGTTAACTCAGATTTTCTCTTCACATGTGCTGCCAGACCTGCTGAGCTTTTCCAGCAACTTCTGTTTTTGTTCCTGATTTACAGCATCCACAGTTCTTTTGGTTTTCCAGCAACTTTTTAAGGGAGTAGACAGCTTCTCCAGCAACTTCTGTTTTTGAATAGTTGGGAGTTGGGTTTATGACTGGATTGGAATGGGAATTATATTTGAGGTTAGTAATAGATATGTTGGTAAATTGATGATGTAGCAAATGGATAGTGGGAATTTACCATTTTAGTTGAATGCCAGTAATGATGATTGAGAAGGTGGGAAAAGTAATATTTGCATGTAATATTTATGCCAGACAATTGCTATCTTGAACAGATTCTAACCCCTGCTACTTGACATTCAGTGGCGTTACTGTCACTGAAACCCCCACTATCCACATCGTGGGGGTTCCCATTGATTACAAACTGAACAATACTAGCTATATAAGCATGTGGCTACAAGAACAGATCAGAAATTAGGAATACTGCATCAGATAACTTGGCTGCTGACTTCCCAAAGCCTGTCCACCATCTACAAGGCACAAGACAATAGTGTCATGAAATGTTTCACACTTGCCTGAATGAGTGCACCTCCAACAATACTGAAGAAGCGTAGCACCATCCATGACAAAGCAGCCTGCATGATTGGCACCGTATCCACTCCCTACACCATTGGCACTCAGTAGTAACAGTATATACTGTCTTTCAGATGCACATTAGAAATTCAAAGATCCTTAAACAGCACATTATTATAAACCCATGACCACCACCTTCTCGATGGGTAAGGGCAGCAGATATATGGAAGCATTGCCACTCGCAAGTTCCCCTCCAAGCTGCTTGCCATCTTGAGTTGCAAATATATCACCATTCCTTCAGTACCTTTTAGTCCAAAGTGCTGGAATTCCCTCCCTAATGGCATTTAAGGTCACAGTAGTTAAAAAAAGGCAGCTCACTATGATCTACTTTGGGACAACTAGAATGGGCAAAAATTGTTGGTCCAGCTAGCAATGCCCCAGATATGAATTTTAAAAATTACTTGAATATAAATGTGACATTAGATAAGAATGCTGATGTATGCAAATTGGCCCCTTGCTGCTCATTAGCAATGTTCTAATCTAGCTGTTAAAACCTTGCACACAAAAATTGGACTTTTTTTTTAATCTCAATGTCAAGAATATCACCTTTTCATACTCCTTGTATTTTCCCAACTGCCATGCCATTGCCCACGTTGTTTGGGGCTTGGGGAAAATTGCACCCATTATCTTTACCTGCTGTAATACAATGCAAATTTAGATAATTGTCAGACAATATCAGTATCCCAACTGCCCACACTGACAAGATGGAGTTGCGCAGCAGAAATCTAGCACTTCAAGAGGGCATGCTACAGATGGTCAGTGTGAAGATCATTGTTGAATCCCTACAGTGTGGAAACAGGCCCTTCGGCCCAACAAATCTACACTGGCCCTCAAACATTCCACCCAGCCCAATCTCCCTATAACCCACCTAATCTACACATCCCTGAACACTACGGGTAATTTAGCATGGCCAATCCACCTAGCCGGCACATCTTTGGACTGTGGGACGAAACTGGATCACCCGGAAGAAACACACGCAGACACGGGGAGAATGTGCAAACTCCACACAGATAGTCACCCGGGGGTGGAATCGAACCCGGGTTCCTGGCGCTATGAGGCAGCAGTGCTAACCACTGAGCACCGTGCTGGATAGATGTAAGGGACACTTTGCCTAGTCCCAAAATGGTGAGTCTATGCAAGTTTGCCTTTTGGTATTTGGGACAGTCAGCAGGGAATGCATGACTCTCAAACTTTGCCATGTTAGTTTGCTTGCAGGCTTCAGAGGTTAGAAAATTGGCCCTCATTCAATGGCACTCAGTACTGGAAGGAGGCCTCCAATGAAAGCCACCTGTCTGTCCTTGCTACTGACCTAACCTCGCCTGGCCTCCTCACCTTGCATACCCCATCTTGCCCTCCATCACTCAGGGGTCCCTTGCTTTACCCTTTTGGTGCTGCTTGCAATTGGGAGGGCCAGCGGTTCTCAGTGGGGTGGGGGGCAATAGGTTGGCCTGGTGCTGGCAACCTAAGTACTGTTTGGCGCTTAATACTAGCAGGCCTTACCCAAAAGGAGTGACGCAAGGCCTTTGCTAGCTCTGCAGCTGTCGGAGACCCTGCCACCCTGGAATAAATACCAATCTTGTTTTCTCCTAGACAACAAGGTGCAGAGCTAGATGAACACAGCACGCCAAGCAGCATCATAGGAGCAGAAAGGCTGACGTTTCAGGCCTAGGCCCTTCATCAGAAATGAAGAAGGGTCTAGGCCCAAAACGTCAGCCTTTCTGCTCCTATGATGCTGCTTGGCCTGCTGTGTTCATCCAGCTCTGCACCTTGTTGTCTCGGATTCTCCAGCATCTGCAGTTCCTACTATCTCTTATTTTGTCCTCTTATTTTCTGCCTGTCCTGCCTTTTAAAAAAATCAAATTTTGCTTAAAATAGTGCATTTGGTTTAGTTGCTTTGGAGGGCTCAACTCAATGAAGAATATGGTGAATTTTATCATGGCACATTGGTAGGCATATGAATTGCTGCAATAGCAGGCATGTACTCCTCCAAACCGCTAGAGTGGACAGACTTTCTGCTCTGTAGAAAGCAATGCCCTTCAACCTTCTCAAATCAAAAACCCACCAAAAGGCAGTAAATTGGAGCCTCGGTTGAATGGAGTGAACTTTTTTTATTTTTAATAAAAGAAGTCTTGTTATCATTCATGATGTTAGTTCTAAAATACTCAAACTGAGAACTGGCTTCTGTCTCAGATGTGATACTTCACATACAAGGGCGTAAGATTGCAAGATTTCATTGTAAGTGTTTACTAATATTTGGCAAGGTAACTCCTTCCCCTTTTGACAGAGCCTTTTCTGCCTCTCCATGGTCTCCTTATTCTCCACCCTCTCTTCTTCCCCCAATTCACCACCTAGCTCATTTCTGTGGTCTGTTCTCCAGCTCATTTCCTCTAAAATGTCTACACAATTTAAATACACTTGGTCTTAACATTGTAGACAATGTCATGAATGATTGTAATGTATTAAAAATATATTTGCCAATGTGCAAGCAGCACAGCTGTGAAGACAGGAAAATCAAAATTTGGTTAATTTTTTGTAACTTTTGAAACACTTTAAAATGCTGAAGTAGTTAGATTAATTTTTAAAATTGTATTATACTGAATGTATGTCTCTGGCTAGGTGTTTTTTTTGCTTATCGCTAATTGCCACTGATAGTTTGGTGACCTGTCGCTTTAAGCCATTTTAAGTACACCCACAGGGCTATTTGATAGTTCTGGGATTTTGACCCAGCCGTAGTGAAGCAA